AGTTCTTCTAAACTGTCGGCAATGTAAGTTGAAAAGTTTTACTATTATTCGATTTGACAATTTAATCATTTTGAGATGGTGCCTTGTGTTGTTTGTTTGTGGCCTTAATGGATTATATTTCCTTCACCAACTGCACAACTTTCTTGAAGGATATACTCTTGCTTTGGTTTAACCTAATTCTAATATTCTTGTCTATTATGGCATCTATAAATTGGTCATGTGCCAATGAATTCATCATCTCACTAGGATCACCTTAGTAAGATAATTGAACAAACCTTAATAAATAATAAGTTTTCCATATGATCTCTTCTTTCCTCTGTACCCTATTCCGGAACTTTGCAGGGTGTTCATAAGCTCTTATACAGTTTTACACATATACCACTAAATTCTGTGAGGTAATTAACATTCAAATACCTAACACGTTTATTGGATCAGACTGTGTACTACAGTCTGATCATGAATATTTTCTCTCACTTTTATATAGTACTTTAGATAATGCTTGTTGAAATTACTGTACTACAAACAAGCCGATAAACTCTAACCAACTGTGTTTTTGAAGCCGGGAAAAGTCTAATGCCAAGAGTGGCGATTCATTGTTGTATTTTCGAAAGGTTTCTACTTTAGTCACTAACACTAAAATAAACATAGGAAATAGGTGTGAAGAGATTGGAAGTAGAAATTCTCAGGAGACTTACTTTGGAATTTTATGGTCGATACTGAAAAGTCCCGACAATACTGTTCATTTTGTTTCGTCGAATTTCTAAGTAAGTTGCTATAAGTATAATAACTACAGAAAATAAGTGTGAAAAGGTGAGAATTATATACTCTGACCATACGTTGTTTGGAACTTTATGATCAGTACTAACAGAACTACACATTTTATTTTGCATTTTGCAATATTCTCTTTCATTATACATTGATAACTTGCCTACAACCTGGATGAAAGGGTTAATAATACTTTCTCTATGAGTGTGCAAAACTTCACGAAGTTTGAGATTTGTAAGGTCGGATTCGTTTGAAATGGTGAGGGAACGCCATTCCCACAGCACTACACCACTGGTTATAAGGGTGTTTCTGATAGATGTATGTCTAGTTAATGTTAATAGTTACTTAGGCTAGATCTAGTAGAATCGCAGATAAAGCCTCAATTTCAATTTGCCTGACTGAGATTTGTAGGTGTAAGCACAATAAACTTGAATAATTATCTAATCAGATATGATGTAGGAATCCAATAAACACAGAATAAAACTTGTTACTTACAAGAAATGACGACAGTCAGCGTAAAACTTATAAAAATCTCTAGTCTAGACTTGCGGTTCGTGGTCTTGCACGCTCTACAGTACCTGTTATTGTTGTTGAATGTACACACTCTTATGAAAATTAGCATATACACCAATGGCTGAGCCGTTTAGTGGTCATCGGCGACTAGCAGGCGGCTCAAAAAATAATCAGAAGCTGGTGGGGCCACAAAAAAAAAGGTGGCGACTGGCGCAAATCGGCGGTGGCTCCCAGGTCTGATTGTCCACTTTCACAAAAGCGGAACCGTACTTTTAATCAATTGAAGTGAATAGCACTATCAAACATTCTGGTCGCTAAAGCTTGCTTTAGTAGGTGTTCCAGTACTAACTTATGTTCGACAGAAATATGTTTATCTTGCACATAGAGGCCAGTGACAAAATAGTCAGAGCAGTGATGTCAATATTCCAAAAATGGAGTGGAACATCCAGTCATACATTCACAGTCCCTGAACATAAATACTACACTATGAAAAAAGAGCTGCATATCACGGTTGTCTTCATAGAACACTTTCATCACTACTTTTATAGCATAATTCTCTATTTGGGTGGACCATGCTTCACTGAATTGGTTAAGTATACTTTAAAAACCTAAAGGGATAATTGTTCATTGGATAATAACATTTCTAGAATATTATTTTGCCATAATTCTTCACTCACACCTCAACACCGAATTGCAGATGGACTATCTCACCTTACTGTGAAACTCTGTATGTTCATAGAATGTCCCAATCATGGACACCATGTAAAGTAAGAACTACCATTGTATTAGTCATAGCCCCAACAAGCAATAAAGTAGACACTTCTAGTGATGGATGAATGTTAAAGTTAACACTTCAAAAGCTCCTGGAAGAAGCATTTGAAAGACATTGACTTGGTATGGACAATCCTTGCAGTCCACCAAGAATATACCTACCCAGCACCAGTACGTGGACGAGTGTTGCATGGATGCATAAAAGCTGTGACACTTGTATGTGCAGTTTCAAATATAAGACGTTGTGTTATACTATGGTTACCAGCCCAGGAGGCATAGCACTCCAGCACTTCTGCAGTTAATGTTTCCCAGAACTCTTTAGATGCTACACAGCGCACAGAATAAAGGTTACCAATGTTTGCTAAAATCTGATGATTATTTTTCTCGCCACGTATCAGTCATGATGTTTGATAATGGTGTGAACACTGTAAAGTGTGTGCTGCATAAAGGAAGAACAAATTGAAATAGGATAAACTCCAACAAATGACTTGTAAAAATAATATTCTGGCCACTAATGTGTTTATTGTGATCCAGCCGTCTTGATGAGCCCTGGATTAAGCAAAACGCGTCGTCGATAATGGATATGGCAAATACAGTGTGGTTGAAATGCTATTATTATTGAATATTGTTGCGTCAGCGAGGTCACGTGACTAGTGTCACGCCACCTGCTTTCTAGAAATATCCTGTTCCTTCGTGAATGCCCTAGCATTTACTAGATTGGAGGTTGTCTGGTATATATAGGATGGTCACAACGTGACGGGAGAATGTGTGTAGGTAATGAGTAATTAAACTGCAGTCAGAGAGAGAGACGTATTGTTGAAGTCGAGCTCGTGAGGCGTGAATTATAGTTTGTTATAGCGCGACTGTTGAAGTTGAGTGTATCGTAAAGTTGTATTCGGAAAGAATAAACCAGTTTTATTTAAGAAAGGACTTGTGTCGCTAAAGTTTCGTCGGAACGAAGTTACGAAAAATCAACTAACGAACGGGGACGTAGTAATATTTTTCTAACTCTTGAAAATCCCTAAAGGACTAAATAAATAATATAATGTTAAAATACTATAAGTTTAATAGTAATATTGTTACGACAGCGGAAGTCACGTGACGATGGTAACACGTAATGAGTTCTAGAAAGATCGGTGAACATCAAGAATAATCCAGTATTTGCTAGACGTCCGCTATTCTTGTATATAAGTGCGCCAGACAATTAATCGGAATTGTATAGCAGACAGAGAGATTGAAGATATAGACGGACAATTGAGTCAAGCGTGGTAGGAAGTAAAGTGCGTGAATCATTCGTTGTAAATTATAGCGTGTGTTTAAGTTAAGAAAACAATGGAAATTAAGGGTATTGCAAAGTTGAATTGAGAAAGAATAAACTAGTTTTATTTGAGAAAGAACTTGTATCGTGTTAGTCCAGAAGAAGGATGGGACCCAGTGTTGCTGTGTGGACATCAGGGCTCTTAACAGTATAACGGAAAAAGACTCATGC